ACACAGACACACAGACAGACAGACAGAAAAAGTTTTTTCCGACCAGACGGAGTAATAGGCTTCGCTAATCGCTCAGCCAACAAGATGTCTCCTTATTTTCCGGGTTAGCAATTGTAGTGTCACTATGTTGCTTGACATTTTTTACAACTGATAATTTATCAGTATCGTCAAGAGATTTGGGTTTAATGTAATATTCTAGAGCACTAGAATAGAAAGAAATGTATGCAGCTTTATAGTTTGTTACAAGGGTGACATAAAATTAAACAATCATTTCAAATGAATGTGGTACGTACTCTGGTTCTAACAATTTATATTTTTTCAGCAAGTCATTGTAATCAGTAGCTAAATTCTCAAATGCAATTGTTGCAAAGTCTTTGCTGACCTTTTCAATTTCACATTCTTGCAGAGCATCTGATGATCAGATTAAAATTTATTAAAAATAATGTCATGGTCATTATTAGAAATGTAAGGATCATATATACCTTTGAGTAGGCCCCGTTTCTCCGACAGCGTAATACAAATAAATCGTTGTTTTCATTAACTTAGTGAGATAACCTAAATACGAATAGACCCTAGCCTGGGCCAAAAAAAAAATCGGAAATCTCGTCGGTGGTTTTTCTGAAAGTATTTTCGATGCCGAGCACGATGGTCTTTGTCCGAACCCTCTCCGATGTCGAGAACCCACCGCGCCTCGGCGTTAAAGATTTGGCCACGGGCGGGCGCCAAGTCAGGTGGTGGCGTGAGGGCGGCCGCCGCTGCAGCAGCGCGCGGCGCAGGTGAGTCGTATTTACATCATATGTTCCCTAAAGGTTACTCTTTCGAACGCCACCCGTCCGATCGCGATGCGACACGTCATTCGTCCTAGCGAGCGTGTTAAAGTCGACTGGGGGAGTTAGGCCCTATGAAAAACCTCACGCGCATTTTCGATGTTTTCACAACGCAGAATCCTTGCCTAGGCTCCCACACATCAGCCCATATCCCGAGTTTCACTATTGGTCAACTCCAACCGACCGAAAAACGTGCACTTTTGGCCGAGCGCCGGATATTCAATGTTTGAGACGCGCGCGCCGCCGGGCTCGGGAGCGTGGTGGGGGGAGCTTCTCCGCCGCTGCCGCTCCCGAGCCAGCAGTAGGCGAGCGGCAGCGGCGGGGAGGCTCCCCCCTCTACGCTCCCGAGCCCGGCAGCGCGCGCGTCTCAAACATAGTGCGCCTGCTGCAGTCCTGCGCTCTTTTGCTCCTTTGATTCATTCCGCCACACTTCCTTTGACTTGTTCACAAGATTCCACGGCGCCGAAATACGGTACACCGCATATCTGATTTAAACATATTCACAAATTCATAATACATGAAATGACTACAAGAATACCTAGGGTGCACCTCATTTCGGCGCAACTCGGAGGGATGGTTGTTATTGGTCCAAAACCTTACGTCTGACACATGCTCAAATTTTTTACTTTCTATCGGAGGGGAGAGGGGCAGGGCGGGGGTGAGAGGTGGCTTGCTGTTCCCGATTTCCTGTAATGCTCTCTCTCAGTTAGCATCTCTAATGACATCTCAGCACTGTCAGCTCAACATAAGCTGCTAATTGAAGCTGACAATGGCCGCACAACACTTATCCTAGATTTTTGTAGATCACTTACGATATTCCCTACGCTGAGACGATGGTAACTGCGCGAGGTCGGTGACTGCGCGAGGATTGCAACTGCGCGAGGACTTCAACTGCTCGAGGACTGTAACGGCGCGAGGAGTGTAACTGCGCGAGGTAAGTTACGCTGTTTTAAGGTAATTTTTGGTTACACATCCAATGTCTTGATATTTTTATTTCTGTCGTCTTAAATAATTCATTCTCTACTTTTGTAAATAACTTCTTTGAGTGTGTTTCTAATATTATTCCCCCTTCCTCTCTTACAGAGTCTTGCACCAGTAGACAATGGGGGAAATCTCATGAAATGGGAGGCCAAAATCGCTGGCCCTGAGGGGAGCCCTTATGAAGGGGGCGAGTTTGAACTCACGACTGATATTCCTCTGTCGTATCCAATAAATCCACCAAAGGTAAGGCATTCTTCATTTTTGTGTAAATCCATCATCACCAAGAGTTTATCTAGACGGCAAACATTTTGCACTTAGTTCAAGAAAGTGTTAGATGAATTTTTTATTGAAATCACTTTTAGTTTACTTTATAAAGGCAAAAGTTTATGTTCTGTTTTTTATTTCCTATCTACAGGTAGTATTTCGAACAAAAGTGTACCATCCCAACATAAACTCATCCGGGATGATTTGTATGTCAACTTTGAAAAAAAGATGCTAAAGAAGGAAGGTGGGCACCAGCAATGATGCTTCCAATGCTCATGATAGCAATCCAGTCCCTTTTTAGTGACCCCAACCCAGGTAATACAAATTCATATGAAGATTTTTTACTTTTTCATATGGAAGGATATCCTAGCGTTTGAAAAATGCGGGAGCCTACCACGCCCACAGGAGGCCACTCGCACTACCACGCCTGTCAATGTTGCGCTTAGCTGTACTGGCTTGTCCCTACTGCTCATAAGTCAGTAGACGGCTAAAAATGATCCCTGCAGCTCGTCTTAAGACAATTTGTTCTTTATTCAAATACTTTATTCCGGGTCTACTATTTTGGAGTCAGATTTTCTCTCCACCCTATTCAGGAAGCTAAAAATAAAAACGATCATGAGGTTTTAACCTGTTCTCGGTTAAAACAATGTATGCTATTTAGGGGGAGAAAGGGAAAAGTTTGACGCGCTCCGTTCGTTTGAAGAAAACTCCTCCGGGGTTTTCTTGAATAACATAATGTTCCTCAAAGGATTTTCCTCTT